CTTTTCTGTTGACCTTAGTGAAAGCAGGACTGAGTCCCCTGCCCCCAGTAATAATAATATTTATCTCTTATTTAGGGCTTTTTATCCTTGGGTCTCAAAGCATTTTACAAATGAAGGTAAGTATCATTAGCCCCATTTTACATATAGGGAACTGAGGCACAGAGAACTGAAGTGACTTTCCAAAAGTCACACAATAAGTCAGTGGCAGAGCCTGGAAGAGAACTGAGGTTTCCTAACTACCAGTCCTGTGCCCTATCCTCATGACCATGCTGCCTCGATATGCAAGGCCTTTCTGGAGCTACATGTTCTACTCCTGACATTCTCTTGGGTTGTTTGGATCTGGGCCATGAAGGTTCATGATGAGCTAGAGCCTGTAAACATTCCTTAGACTCTAGGAGCAAATTGGCACACCATAAAAGCAGGGCAGATACTTTATTTTTTTAATTTCATTTTTGCTAACCACTGTTATACTCAGATTCCTGAGTGTTGTATGAAAAAATAAAAATTGTAAACAAACAAGAACTTTCCCAAACTTGATATTATGGTCACACAACCAATTTTTAAGCGATCACAGGGTCTTTTTAGACTTAATGACTTGTAGTTGGGGAGCCAGAGATAAACAAGAATCCTTTCTGGTCCAATTTATATTGTAAATATATTTTTTCCCTTTGTGGAGGCAGGCCAGATATCACCAACTTTACAGATGCACTGGTCTTTCTCAATGTGACAATAATAATGTTTGAGACTGACTCCTTTAAAATTTTTGAAACCCTGATTTTCCCCCTGTTGCTGGGAAAGCCTTTTGACCACGTGTTGACTTATGGTAACTTTGACGCATTTATTTTAAGTAGGGGGAATATTTTAAGAAGCTTAGGTCATGTGGAATGGCTTGAAACACATGTTAAAGGGGAGGGAAATAAACAAGCAAAGCTTACTGCTGCGTGTTATTTTTTACAGCCATCAGAAGTCATGAGCTATTGTTACCCAATCAGAAGTCATGAGATATTTTAATGGCAAGGGAGGAGGAAGGTCATCCTGTAAAGGTTTTCCTCAGCTGATCTGGGGAACATTTGAACTTCTCTATGTTACAACTCTCCCCCAACACGGAAAAGAAAAACGTGTAGCTCTCAAGAGGCCATTTAGGAGCTTTCACCTTTTCCACTAATCCCACTTTTGGATACATCTTTTGCAAATGAAGCCACTTACAATCAATCTTTTTTTGCTGACTGGAAAGTCTTTCTGCTAATTAATCTCTCTGTTACACTACCTACCTATTTTAGGAATTGTATAGCATCCATCACTGTAGTACTTAAGCACTCTGATATACCAATTTCTTACTACAGAATGGACCTGCACCTTGACTGGGCAGGTAATTGTACAATAATGTGGCATGGTAATGCTGGTCCTCAAAGTATTCTGAAAAATGAATTTTCTCCAGTAAACAGTTAAGTCAGTCAAACAGTTACACTCTTAGGAAAAGTGAAAAGAAATATCTTTCTCAGACAACTTTGTCCGTAAATACTAGTGGCCAACTTCTCCCCTCGGTTATATTTGAGGAAAGAGCGTGGGCACTGAGGAATGGTGCTCTCTCAAGTCGGTCACATGTCAGTGTGTGGCATGTGTTAGGTGACTGAACTTTAAAATCAAAAACTGAGCCACTTTTGTGGCAAGATATTTTAGGGTCGCAAGATAGTTTATATTGCAGACAAGAAGATGCGGATAGATTCTCACTCTGCAGCAACATGTGTATATTACTGAATGTGGTAAATTTTCCAGCAACTTAATGTTCTGAATGAGTTTACCTGATACACTGGACAAGTATGATTAATATTCACGCTGAATAAAAGAATAGCTTAAATGATGTCTGTGCTCGTCCAGCTTTTCTCTTCATTGTAAACGCTGTTCATCGCACTGAGTACTCATTCTATTGGAGTGTTTGATGCTGGTAAACACAGAGCAAATTCTACTTGGTATAGCAATACATCAAAACAAATATTTTGTACTTCTAAAAAACAAAATCAGACATAAAATTCATGTTGATAGATAAAATGAAAACCCAGGGCATTCCAAATGTCCTAAAGAAGTTTCTGGAATATCATATGGAAAAACTGTCACAGTAACTCCAAGATGTAGAGTCATTTTAGGAGTGGGGTCCTGTGACCCAAGAATCACTTAATGCCAGCTGATAAGGTTATGGGCATATCCTGATTCTAGTATGTACATTTTGGTTCACCAAAGAATGTCACGTGAGGTCTCATGTTAAAGTCAGTGTCACACTGGTCATTACTATCATAGTGAAATGTATGAAGAAGTTATGTATATATACACACTGAAAATATGTTTAAGTCTGTATCAAGATATTTGTCACCAACAAAGGTGAAAAACAGGTTTTCCTCCAAACGGGAGGTAAGAAATATGTCTCTCTCTCTGTCGGGATGTAAATTAAGCATTGTAAACTAACACAATGGCTGCCCATTTACATATGAAGTCAAATATTAATGAAGAGATGTGAAGCAAACAGAAGGGGCACACAGGAAAAAAGACAATCTGTGGGAGGTTACCCTGTCTGTGAATAAAGACCATGAACTTCAGGGTATATCTAAAAGACAAAGAAGATACCGCTGTGAGGGTTCAGCCACAGAGGCCCCCTTGGGACTGTCACCTGATGTGCTGAAATTACCTCTGAGCCCGTTTTCCCTGCCAGCTTGAGACTCCAGAACCCTGCCTTGTTGAGCCAGACACGCTAGCCTGCTGCAACACAGACTCAGGGTCTGGGCCATGCCCCCAAAGCTGCAGACTTTAACCAAAACCAGCTCAGCAGGTTACCTCTCCAGCACCCAGACACCCAATTCCCAATGGGATCCAAACCCCAAATAAATCCATTTTACTCTGTACAAAGCTTATACAGGGTAAACTCATAAATTGTCCGCCCTCTATTACACTGATAGAGAGCTATGCACAGATGTTTGCTCCCCCAGGTATTAATCACTTACTCTGGGTTTATTAATAAACCAAAGTGATTTTATTAAGTATAAAAAGTAGGATTTAAGTGGTTTCAAGTAATAACAGACAGAACAAAGTAAGTCACCAAGCAAAATAAAGCAAAACATGCAAGTCTAAGCCTAATACATTAAGAAACTGATTACAGGTAATATCTCACCCGCAGAGATGTTCCAATAAGCTTCTTTCACAGACTAGACTCCTTCTTAGTCTGGACCCAATCCTTTCCCCTGGTACAGTCCTTGTTAGTTCCAGCAGACATCTCAGGTGGTAAGCAGGGGCTCTCTCATGACTGGCAGCCCCCTTTGTTCTGTTCCATCCCCTTTTATGGGTTTGGCACAAGGTGGGGATTTTTTGTCTGTGCTTGGCCCCCACCCCTCCTTCTAAATGGAAAAGTACAAGATTTAAGATGGATTTCAGTATCAGGTGACATGGTCTCATGTCCCTGTGAGACCTCATTCTTCATTACCCACGGGCTGGCCCACACATACACAGGAAGGCTTGCAGGTAAATAAACCCATTCACAGTTCATTGATTCTGAAGCACCCTTAATGGCCTCCACTTAATATGTTTACATCAGTAATACAAGTTTATATCTTATTCTCTTAACTCCAGACATAGAAATAATACATGCACACAAATAGGATGAACACACTCAGTAGATTACAAGCTTTCTAATGATACCATACAAGAGACCTTTTGCATAAAGCATATTCCAGTTACATCATATTCAGACTCATAAGCATATTTCCATAAAACATATGGAGTGCAACATCACAACCTCTTCATCTTGTACCTGGGAAGTAAATGAATGTGTTTATATTCATGAAAATGGGATCTCAGCCAGCCTTGGTTGAAAATGCTGAAAATCTTTAGACAGGAGGTTAATCTGTTTCTAGAAAGTGTGTTATGATATTGTTTCATATGTAACCATGTCTCCAGTATCCTTACTCACTATCTCCTGAATATCTACTATTTGATAATAAACTTATTCTTGTTTTCACTATAAATATATCTCAGTGCGCTGGTGTTAAGCAAATGCTGGTCCTGAGCTGAATCTTACAAGCTGGTGTATGCTTATGTGTATGTTTGTTTTCTCGGTGTGTGTTTTCTGAGTGTGAGTGTTCTCTGTGTCCTGGTATTTCTCTGGGTGTTTAATGGATATGGGGCTGGACAAAACAGAAAATGCTCAGAGAGAGCTTGGCCGTTAGTGTGTGCCAACCTGCTCAGAGGGAGTGAAGCCTACAGAGGCCTGGAAGGCAGTGCTTGTACTGCCAGAGGCCATTGGTTTCAGGGAGCTGATCCACAGTGTGAAGGAGTCTTGTCTGTGTCTGCTAAGGGCAGATAGTGGTGAGGTGCCTCACAACCCTGGGTACCCTTGGGGAGCATCACAGGTCTCAGGAAGCACAGGTCCCTGTTTAACTATATAGCAGGGTGGCCAAACTTACTGGCCCTCTGAGCCACATACAAAAATCTTCAAAAGTTCGAGAGCTGGAGCACACTTGGCAGGAGCCAGGGCTCAGGGTGTCAGCCCCACTCTTGCTGAAGCCCCGAGCCCCGGCAAGTGCGCCCTACGGGGCTGAAGCCCCAAGACACCCCCCCTGCTGGATAGAAGCCCCTACCCCACTGCAAGGCAGAGGTCCTGAGCTCCCCCCCAGTCTGGTAGGCAGAGAATGGGGGAGGATGTGGGGGGCTTGCGAGCCGCACTTTAACCGCTCGCAAGCCACAGTTTGGCCAGCCCTGCTATGTAGGTTGCACATATCTCAGAAACTGCCGGTGCGGACTGTAATTTACGTTGCAATGCACATCAGTATTTAATGGGTGGATGTTTTGCTGTTGTAATTGGAGTGGGGCAAATGAAGTTGTGTGGTGAGCTTACAAGTGATACAAGACATTGACCTTTATTCCTTCCCTAAATTGATGGCACTACGCAGAGAAGTACTGAGCACAGAGTGCTTCCAGTCTGCCAGTGGTAACAATAATTTCATGTTTTACTGCAGAGTGAGATGGCCGTGCTGCTCAAACCAATATCTGACAAGATCCAGGAAATCCAGACCTTCAGAGAGAGAAACCGAGGAAGTAAAATGTTCAACCACCTCTCAGCTGTCAGCGAAAGCATTCCTGCACTTGGGTGGATAACAGTGGTGAGTTACACACAGACTAGGGCATTTTTAAACACACTTCTTAATGGAACTCCATAAACAAATAATCAAATCAGAGCAGTCCCTAGTATTATTTAACTCTGCATTCCCATCTCCTTATCTCTACACTCAGGCCTTGTCTACACTAGGGGAGTAAGTCGACCTAAATTACGCTATTCCAGCTACGTGAATAATGTAGCTTAGGTTGATTTACCCCAGTGTGTTCACTGCACTGTGTCGATGGGAGATGCTCTCCGGTCGACTTCCCTTACTCTTCTTGGAGAGCTGGGGTACCGGAGTCGACTGAAGAGCGCTCTGTCATCGATTTAGGGGGTCTTCACTAGACCCACTAAATTGATCCCCCGCTGCATCGCTTGCAGCCCCGTTGATCTCCCCTGTAGTGAAGACAAGCTCTTAGTCTAAAATACTGATGGGGAGTTTTGACTAATGTTTTAAATCTTCTTTTCTTTTATTTTTTTCTTGCTATACTTGGGTGATGGTGCTGTTCTCTTAGTCTCCTAAACCAGGCCCTTATGTCAAGGAGATGAATGATGCTGCTACCTTTTATACTAACAGGGTGTTAAAGGACTACAAAAACAGGTATGTTGCCTGGTGTTAATGTCCACACTTTCTCTATGGATAGTTTAGAACTAGCTTTACTGAGGTGCTAGAGAGTACTGTATTATTTGCAAAAACATCACAAGAAAGTGTTTTGAAAATTAAAAAGCATTCAACACATGAACTTACGCCCCCTCCCCCCCCCCCCCCCCCAACAAACTACCCCCCCCCCCCCCCCCCCCCCCCACACAGGCAACTACAGCACTACCCTGTCTGACTGATACACTGCTGCAGAGATGGAATTCCCTGACTGCCCATCTTGCTTTTCTGCTTGAAAAATTGCACTTTGGCTCTATCACCTGGAGTCCAGCTCCATGCAACTGAGACTTTACTGCCCCTTGATGCAGTGTTTCCAAAGGGGCTCTCTTTGCGCCAGTGCATGGCGATCTTAAGGGTGTGGGCACAGGGAGGCATGTGGTTGCAGCAGCAGATACAGTGCAGTGCTACTGGTGTTCTGTGGCCTGAGATAGAGAGAGGATGACTCCTTTTCTGAGCCCCTTTGGAGAACTCTTGCACAAATCCCATTCGCTTGGCCTTTGCAGAGGGGTCAGTTTTTAGCCGTTAGTACCATACTGTTACTAAAATACAATACCTGCAAATTTGTTTGTTTTTTTTTTTTTTTCCCCTTAGCCATCATCTTCCATGACAAATTAGGCTGATTCAAAACCCATTTTTGTTCTTTTATAGAACATACCTGATTTAAGTCCTTATATCAGGTCTGTTGCTACACATTTTCATCCACACTGGTCAGCAGAGGTAAAGCAGCTCACAATTTAATCTTTTGCCCAAGTAAAAATTAATCTGCAGATCTGAATTTTTGTGAAAGTTCTTTTAATTATAGTTATGAATTGCCTGCTGGAGCCCCAAATTATCCACTCTGGGTAATTCTTTGCTCCATTTTAGAATGTACTTTTTGAAGGGGCATAAGCACCAGTGGGGAAAGTGCACCTTTTTAAAAGGACTAAACTATGTGCATGATTTTTAGGGGTGAAGTTTGTTTAGTATTTCACACCAAGATATTTCTGAGTATTGGAGCTGGAAAAGTTATATAAAAATAAACAAGCAAGACACAGGATTTAAGTGTGGAGATTTTCCTCTGAGGCTTCATTTACTTTAAGACCTGATCCCACTGCCAAGCAATGGAATCAATGGGAATCTTTCCATTGACTCCAGCAGGCCGTGGATCAGGCTTTTAGTGATCACTGTTATTATCTTTAACTAGATTTTCACCATTAAGGGCTCCATCCTACAAACAGTTACTCCCATGCATATTCTTACTTCCACTCATTGTCCCATAGCAGTCAATGATAGCCATCCGGGTGCTTGGAGTTTAGGAAAATTAGGCCACTTATTTAGGTGCCTAAATAATAATTTGGGAACCTAACCTATTTTTGAAAATCTTGGCTTATAAATATGAGTCTAACAGAAATTATGATGTGACACCATATTATCTAGCCTAAAGATACACATAACCTTTGCTTCCTGACCACCCTTCATTTATGACAACTCCTCCTTTTCTTTTGAGATTAATATTTTGGTTGCGTTTAAGAGTTATAAGGTGCTGGTTAAAATGTTCCAAGGGGAAAGGGTAGCAGAGCACATGCTGGGTTGAGAGGCGTAAAGGAGAGTGACAAGCTACCTTTGGACTCAGAAGCCAGGACACTTTACAGAATACGCTGATCTTTAATTTTCTAAAAATCAAAACACTGAGGGGAACCAGGTTTGAATTCCTGGCACAGGGCCCCATCTTGCTTTATTACTGCCCTGGTTCACTTTGAGCCTGGGCAGGAAGCATTCTGTCCTGGAGCCCTCTTGTTCCCTTATCTCTCCTCCGCAAGGATCTCAGTCTGCTAGGCCTCACCGTTTGCTGGGCTGCCTGTCTGTCAGCAGTCTTGTAACTTAATTGTCTGTGGCCAGTGACAGATGCAGTATCTAGTCCGCTTTAAATACAGGGAAGCAAGTATCTATATTTAAACACTATAAATCATACATAGAAATATTTCCTTTTTTTTTTTCTTTACAGTGACTTACATCATGTTGATTGGGTGAAATCATACTTGAACATCTGGACTGAGCTTCAAGCTTATATCAAAGAGCATCATACCACAGGCCTCACCTGGAGTAAAACCGTGAGTGCTCCTCCCCTTTCACTGTCAGAACAGGAAAACAACACTAGCTGATTCTGCTTTTACCAGATTCTGGCATTACTGCAGTGAGCCCAAACATTATCTCTGGGAGAGGAAAGGATTTAAAAAAAAAAAAAAAAAAAGACATTTCTGTATTTAACATTTTAAAAATATTTTAAGAAGGGGATAAGACAAATGTGACACAGGAAGAAGATTCAAAACAAAAGCTGACAGTGCAAAGCAGTGAATGTTGTAGTAAGCCTAAAAAGCTACCTATGTCTGTAAGGTCTACAGACCTTACAGCGGCACAGCTGTACCACTGCACTGTAAGGTCTCCTGTGTAGCTGCTCTAAGCCGGCAGGAGAGAGCTCTACTGCTGGCATAATTAAACCACCCCCAATGAGCAGCGGTAGCTATGTCGTCAGGAGAGCGTCTCCCACCGACATAGCCCTATCTACACTGGCACTTTTGTCGGCGGAACTGATGTTGGTCAGGGGGGTGTTTTTTCACACCCCTGACTGACAAAAGTTTTGCTGACAAAAGCTGGTGTAGACAAAGCCTTAGGCCTGGTCTACACTAGGCTTTTATGTCGACTTTAGCGCCGTTATATCGAATTAACCCTGCACCCGTCCACACCAGGAAGCCATTTAGTTCGACATAAAGCTCTCTTTAAATCGATTTCTGTAATCCTCCCCAACGAGAGGATTAGCGCTAAATTCGACATGGCCATATCGAATTAGGCTAGGTGTGGATGGAAATCGACGGTAATAGCTCCGGGAGCTATCCCACAGTGCACCACTCTGTTGACGCTCTGGACTGCAGTCAGAGCTCGGATGCTCTGACCAGCCACACCCCCGGGAAAATTTGAATTCATTTTCATTTTCCTGTCTGGGCAGTTTGAATCTCAGTTCCTCTTTGGACATCGAGGGGAGCTCAGCAGCAGTGGCAACTATGCAGAGCTCTCCAGCAGAGATGGCCGTGCAATCTAATAGAAAGAGGGCCCCAGCATGGACTGATCGGGAAGTCTTGGATCTCATCGCAGTGTGGGGCGATGAGTCCGTGCTTTCAGAGCTGCGCTCCAAAAGAAGGAATGCTAAGATCTACGAGAAGATCTCCAAAGCCATGGCAGAGAGAGGCTACAGCCGGGATGCAACGCAGTGCCGCGTGAAAATCAAGGAGCTGAGACAAGGCTACCAAAAAACCAAAGAGGCTAACGGACGCTCCGGATCCCAGCCCCACACATCCCGTTTCTACGAGGCACTGCATTCCATCCTGGGAGCGGCCGCCACCACTACCCCACCCCTGACCGTGGACTCCGAGGATGGGATCATGTCCGCGGCCGGTTCCTCGTCGGACATGACAGCGGACGGGGAAGATGAAGAAGGAGATGAGGAGGACGAGGCAGTCGACAGCGCTGGCACCGCTGATTTCCCCGACAGCCAGGAGCTCTTCATCACCCTTACCGAGATCCCGTACCAACCGTCCCCATCCCTTACCCCGGACACAGAATCAGGGGAAGGATCAAGCAGTAAGTGCTGTAAACATGTAAACATTTATTTAAAACAGAACGGTAATATTTATACTATTAACAATGTACATTTATAAAAGTTCTGTAAACTAGTAAAAAAATAATCAGGTACAAAACAGGAATATTTACAAAGGTAACAAATGGGTTTTCATGATTTCTCTGTCTTAGGCTCTTCTCAATTTAGTCCCAAGTGTTTTAAAAAATTTTCACAATGTCCGTTACTCCATGATTCCCAGGCCCAAGACGCTCCACTCCATAGTCCCAGTGCACCTACGCGAAAATCCGGTCAATGTGGCCGGGGATCGACGAGAAATCCTCGTAGGAGAACTCCTCGTAGGTCTCGTGGAGGTAGAGCTCAAGCCTGTTGATCAGGTTCCGGGGTAGGGCGATCTTAGTGGGCCCTCCGTGGTAGCAGACATGCCCCCTCCACGCCACAATCAAGTACTCCGGGATCATGGCCCGACATAGCATGGCGGCATACGGCCCCGGTTTCTGCATGCTTTCCCGCAGCATGCGTTCTCTCTGGGTGTCCGGGATCCTCAGAAGGGTGATGTCGCTCATGACGCCCTGCTTTGAATTAGGGAGGGGAATGTTAGTATTGGGACTGCTTTACAGCCACGCGGTGGAGGGAGAGGGGCAGCATACAGGGATCTTTCCCTGGGACAGCCGCGAGGGGGTGGGACAGGGGCAGAGTTGATGCTGTCCTGATTGCTGGCAGCAGAGACTGGCATTGCTTTCAATGTGAAAGGAGGCCAGTGCTACTGCTGGAGTTTTAAGCAGCCACAAGTCTGCGGCTTACCATTATTGCCCGCTCCAGAAGTTCAGGTCTCCAGCCACAGTTCTCTGAACACTCCAAGACCTCCGCAAGTCCACAGGCACTGAAGGCGACGGCCGAAAATTCGACCTTGTCCTGAGTGCGCATGTGAGAGGTGCAGTGCATGGTCTTGTTCACAGAGAAAGACTAGGTTCTTTGTATACAATTTCATTTATCTGTCTCAGGAATTCACTCCCTTTTCACAATTCACACAGACACATCTGCGACTGTCTCCCAACCCAGCCTGTCAGCACACTCCCAGAGGCTAGCGCAGATTAGGCGGAGGAAGAAGAAGACGCGTGAAGACATGTTCTCAGAACTAATGGGATGCTCCCGAGCCCAGGCAGCCCAGCAGACACAGTGGAGGGAGAACTTGTCACAAATGCACCGAGCAGTCATGGAACGGGAGGAGAGGTGGCGTCAGGAGGACCAACAGGCTACTGAAAAGCTGCTTGGACTAATGAGGGAGCAAACGGACACGCTCCGGCGCCTTGTGGATGTTCTGCAAGACCGGAGGCAGGAGGACAGAGCCCCGCTGCAGTCTATCTGTAACCGCCCTCACCCGCCACCAAGTCCCACACCACCCTCACCCAAACTCCAAAGAAGGAGGGGCGGCAAGGGCCGTTAAAACTTTCAGTCAACCCCTGCAGACTGCTCTAGCACTAGAAGGCTGACATTCCCCAAAATTTCATAAGTCCTTTCCTACCCACCTCACACAAGCCCCCGTCCAAGTTTCACCCCCCACGTTTCATGTCTGGTTCGCAATAAAATGTTTGTTTCTCTCCATTACTGTTTCAGTCAGGTTCTTTTGAGGGAGAGTCTGTCTGGAGGGGGGGAAGGGGCTTGGTAATTGGGCAGGACAGTGACCTTTAGCAGGGTACAGAGGCGGTGTCAGGTCCAGCATCAGGACACATACACAGTGCAGTCACTGGTTACCCTGGTCAGTCTGGGAGGTGTTTTTCATGTTCTCCATTGAAATAACCAGTCCACCAGTGCGGAGCCTGGCATTCCGGGAGTTTAGAAGCATCATTTGCATCAGAACACTGAACCCGCCCCCCGCCACAGTCTGCGTCCCCGGTTTAAAATATTCCCGCGAAAACAGCAACACAGACAACGGTGTTCATTAACAAAATCGAAATGATTTTATTTTTTGGGAAGGGGAAGGGGGTGAAGGGGGTATGTAACTGGAGAGGATAGTCAAAATGAACTGGGTAAAGAAACGGGGGCAGGTTCAGCTTTTCTGTCCACAAACTGAAAAGTCACTGGTTGCCCTGCTCACTCAGGAACCTAGCTTTCAAAGCCTCCCGGATGCACAGGGCGTGCCGCTGGGATCTTCTAATGGCCCGGCTGTCTGGCTGGACGTAATCAGCAGCCAGGCTATTTGCCTCAACCTCCCACCCCGCCATAAAGGTCTCCCCCTTGCTCTCACACAGATTGTGGAGCACACAGCAAGCTGCAATAACGATGGGGATATTGGTTTCACTGAGATCACAGCGAGTGAGTAAGCTTCTCCATCTCCCTTTGAGACGGCCAAAAGCACACTCCACCACCATTCTGCACTTGCTCAGCCGGTAGTTGAACAGTTCTTTTTCTGTGTCCAGGGCGCCAGTATAGGGCTTCATGAGCCAGGGCATTAGCGGGTAGGCTGGGTCCCCGAGGATGACTGTAGGCATCTCCACATCCCCAAGAGTTATTTTGTGGTCTGGGAAGTAAATACCTTCCTGCAGCCGTCTAAACAGACCAGAGTTCCTGAACACGCGAGCGTCATGAACCTTGCCCGGCCATCCGACGTAGATGTTTGTAAACCGTCCCCGATGGTCCACCAGTGCTTGCAGCACCATTGAAAAGTAGCCCTTTCTATTGATGTACTGGCTGGCCTGGTGGTCCGGTCCCAGGATAGGGATGTGAGTCCCATCGATAGCCCCACCGCAGTTTGGGAATCCCATCGCGGCAAAGCCATCTATGATGACCTGCGCGTTTCCCAGGGTCACTACCTTTGGGAGCAGTACCTTCACGATTGCCTTGGCTACTTGCATGACAACAACCCCCACGGTAGATTTGCCCACACCAAAGTGGTTCGCGACTGACCGGTAGCTGTCCGGCGTTGCAAGCTTCCAGAGGGCTATGGCCACTCGCTTCTGGACAGTGAGGGCTGCTCGCATGCGGGTGTCCTTGCGCTTCAGGGCAGGGGACAGCAACTCACAAAGTTCGAGGAAAGTCCCCTTCCGCATGCGAAAGTTTCGCAGCCACTGGGATTCATCCCAGACCTGAAGCACTATACGGTCCCACCAGTCCGTGCTTGTTTCCCGGGCCCAGAATCGCCGTTCAACAAAATCCACATGCCCCATTGCCACCGTGATGTCCTGGGCGCTGGGGCTCGTGGTTTCTGACAGCTCTGTGCCACTCTCCGACTTCAGGCTCTCACGGCGGTGCCGTAGCCTCCTCGCCCGATTTCTCTGCATCTGCCTCAGGGAAAGGTGTATGATAAGCTGCGAGGTGTTGAGAACGGCCACAAGTGCAGCGATGGTCGCAGCGTGATCCATGATCGCAGTGCTGTGGCGTCCGCGCTGTCACTGACCAGAAAAGTGCGCGAACTGATTTCCCGCCGGCGCTTTCATGGAGGGAGGGAGGGCGTTAGTGACAGACGGATGACGACAAATT